TAGCCTTCTGTGGCTTCTTGGTGGAAGGCTCTCAGTCTGGTGGAAACCACCATACTGTACCATATTCTTGTTGAATGAACGCTTACTAAAATTGCTTTCGTTTAAGAACCGAAACTTGGGGGCTGGGGATTTAGCTCAGCGGCATAAGCGCCTGCCTAGCAAGAGCATAGTTGTGAGTTTGAACCCCGGAATAAAAAAAAAAGTATGAAGATTCAACATTTAAGATGGCTAAAAGCTGAAACTTCACTTTCCTGTTTTTTTCTGAATTATTAATTACAATAATTGTGTTTCTTTTTACTGTGTTTTGTGTAATAACCATGACTTGAAGTTTACTATAATATAAATATATTTCTATTGGTTGTCTTGGCACCAACTTGCCCATCCTAACACTATTACCTTGGAAAAGTATAGTTCAAATTCTTTTTTTGTTGTTGTTGTCTTGTTTTTTTTTTTTTTTTTTTTTTTTTTTTTTGACATAAGGCTTCACTATGCAGTTTAGGCTGTACTTGAACTCATTTTGTGGCTCAGGCTGGCCTTGAACTCTTGGCATCCTCCTGTCTCAGTTGCCTGACTGCTGAGTTCTGGGACTAAGGCATGTACCGCACGTCCAGCATAGTTTAAATTGTGACCCAATTTGCAAAGTGCCTGGTGCTACTTTCGTAGAAAAAGAAGCAACCACTCTGTCAATCTCTGTGGTCTGTTCACACCAACAGTTAAACAACACAGGCAATGACTCAACAAATTTCAGTCTGAAATCATGGTTGTGTAGTAAAAAGAGTATATTTCAAGAAAGAGAAGTGACCTTGGGCAAATCATCAGTGCTCTTTGCGTCTCATTTTTCTTATCTGTAAGACTGAGATGACCTTGAAGGATTCTGAGTTTTTAACAGGCTTCAGTACATAAAAGCCATTTTTTTATTCCAAGTTTAAGTTCTTTTGTTTTAATAATTGATTCTTCATTCCTTAGACTCCTAAAAACAGTACTGGAGGTAAAATCTGACTCTATCTGAATTGAGGTCATATCCTAGTAGAGTAAGTCAGAGATGTTCCTCTTCTAGCTTTTCCTTGAAGTCATTGGTTGGCTGAACAAAATAATTAAATCCAAGTACACAATTCACCCAGGCCACTTTTCCATAACACAAATACAATAAAAATCAATAGTTTTTTCCCAAATATAAACCAGGTTGATATGCTTATCTCATCCAGGAAAGGGTCTGCTAGCAATGTTAACTAAGTAGATCATGAGTTTGTAGCCAAAGGCTGGCGTTTTGGAAAACAGCAAAGTTGCTGAGTATTGAAGAAGGATGTGGCATAAAGTCTTTCTCCAGTACAGCAGGCTTTTCCAGAACTATTAGAAGCTTCCCTTTAGCAGGTTTCCTTTAATATCAGGGCTGTTGGGATGTTTTCAGTTGCACTGATTTCTTCTCTGTTGTGAGGCTAAAAGGATCAGGATTGAGGTGGGTCATGCTGCAGCTGGTTTTGTTAAGTTGCTGATTGTATTTACCTTCTTCCCTGAGGAAGTTCCTGGACTTTGGCTTGTCACAGGACTGTAAATTTGTCAAAATGTTTGGATGTTTCATGTAAACAAGGCTAAAGTTCTGTTTATACCAGATATAATTTTTTGAAAAAGATAGCATTTCGTTAAACCCTAGGCTCTCTGGGGAAATGCTTGTTAGTGACCAGTTGCATTTTGTTTTTTGACTAAGTGAAACTATGTAAAGTAACCAGAAGCAGCTTTTTGAATTTTCATGGTCATTCTCTGAACATTTTAATTTTTCTAGAGTAGTTTAGCTCTGAGCACTTACAAAAAGTACAGTGAGAGTTTTACTCTTGGTACCGAGATGCTCATGTCACGAAAGAGTTTGGGGGGAGGGCTGTGTATCGAATGTGCACGTCCAAAGCCCTCTGGGGCCTCCAGTCACAGGTACTGGTCCAAGTCCCACAGTACCCATTTGTTCTAAACACAGTTATTGACCTTACTGCTCAAGATGAATTGTAACTTATCATTCTGACCCTGTGACTGCTGGACTCTCCGAACATTCTTCCGTGGACAGGTACTTTGGCCTTGCTGCAGTTTGTACCCCTGTGGGTCACAGTCTTCTCAGTATTACAGATAATTCAATGGCATAGGTGTGAGCTGGGTGATTGGCCATGCGTGTTTCTGTATATGAATGTGTGATCCAAGCATATATTTTCTGGTGCATATCTGCTTTTCATAACCTAAGAATCTTACTTTAACCAGTTTGGCTTTTTTCAGCCCTGTGCTTTGAATGCTAGATTTCCACAAAAATAAATCATTATTTCTTTTTGATTTCCTTGGCTTGATGATGGGTTGTTTATTACTATTATTATTATTATTATTGTGTGTGTGGTAATGGGAATTAAAATGGGAGCCTTCACATGGAGCTACATTCCTACCTTTTTTCTAGTTTTTATTTTGAGATAGAGTCTTTCTAAGTTTCCCAGGATGGGCTCCAGCTATGATCTTCCTGCCTCAGTCTCCCAGAGTGCTGCTGGTGTTACAGAAATGAAAAACTATGCCTGGATAATACCTTAAATATTAATTCTTTTTTTATTTAGAGAAAAAAAGCAAAACAGAAAAAAGGGTAGAAATAATACAGAATTTAAAAAAAACAGTAAGAAATCACTAGTTGATAAATTACATATTGTTATCTTAGAAGTAGTTGTTCACGTTACAAAAATCAAAGCATAAAAAGTGGACAATCAAACAGTGACAGTACAAACTATTCTGTTTGATGAACTAACAAAAACTTAGCAATATGGTTATGTATCTTGCACACTTAAACATACATACAGTTATATCCTTTAGAGCATTTTCTTTCCCTTTCCTTAAAGGATGCTGTGAAAGTACTCATGGTTCTGAGGAGTGGGTTTTTTTAAATTAGAAAACAATTTGAATATAATTTTTTTTCTGTGTACATACACATACACTCTGAGGCTGGGGGAGTGCTATGATTTGATATGCTTATGTCTTAGGGGTTCATGGACTGGAGGCGTGGTCCTCAATATGGTGGTATTAAGAAGTGATAGAATCCTTCAGAGGTGGGGTCCAGGTGGTGGGTGCTTTGGTCTTATGAGTGGCCTGGTTAGTTCTTGAGATAGAGAGAGTGAGCTATTCTAAAAAGAGTAACACTGTCTCCTGAATCTGTCTGGCCTCGGTCTTGCCATATGAGCACTCTTACACGTATTTCTGCTGTTGTGATGCCATCTGTCATGAGGCCTCACCAGAGCTGAGCAAACACTGGTAACATGGTCTTAAATCTTTAAAACTATAAGCTAAACAAACCTCCTCTCTCTGCAGAGTTCCCAGTCTCAGATAATTTCTTATGGCAACAGAAAATGGACCTAGTAAGGATGATTTGTGTCTTCTAATCTCTGAATGCAGTAGAGGACTGGACAGCTGGCTTTTATTTTTCTCTAAAGTTCTACACAATGAACTTTATAGAGCTTCTTGGGCTCGGTTCTTTTTCTTGCAGCATCTCATGTCTTCCCTTCATGCTTCTGTAGGATACATATTACCAGTATTCACAGTTTAAGACAAGAAAACAGGGCCAGAGATGTTGGCTTGCTTGGTTTCAGTCAGTGAATGTACTGTACATTCAAACTGCTGACTCCAAATTAGTGTGTTTAAGTATGCTCACTGCCAGGGTACCTTTTGAATCCCTAAGAAGCTTGAATTCTCCTTTCCCCTCACCATGTGGCCCTCACTTCCTGCAGGGGAGTATAAGCCGTGGTGGTGGTAGGGCTGTGCTATGAGGGTCCTCTTTCCCATCTTTCTTCAGTATCCATTGATCTATTCCCTTGTCCAATCTCCTGCAGTTGACACTTCCCGCCACAACTCTCATCTCTCTAAATCACTCTAGTCATTCTACTTTGAATGCATCAATAATCAGTCTTTTAAGGAGGGCAGGGAGTGAGGAAATTGCTTTCGGAGTATTGAATAAAACTTCAGACATTGGCAGGAACTAACACAGTTGGAGAACTGGTCACTGGTGTCATGAATGTGAATTGCATTTTGTAGTTCAATTTTAGATTCTTCCTCTCCACGCACTCAGCTCCTTCAAAGGCCACTATTTACATTCTCACTCCGTGCCAGGCTCTCTAGACAACCGTTCTGCAGCCAACTGCAACTTGTAGTCCAGGAAACCAAGGGCTTGATCTGGAAGATGTTAACCCTGTTCTGTCTTTGCTTGTATTCAGTCCTCCTGCTTCAACAGGTGTGTCTGTACCCAGCTGGCCTATTCCAGTGGCACTGCCTTTGAATTCTCAAGTAGCCCTGAAGTAGACCATGGAAGGTGATGTTCACTGAGTGCTTTTCTCATCACTCCTGTTCTGAATCTTGGAGGGCAAGTTGAGGGAAAAGTAGAAAAGTGGATTGAGATTATCTTTAGTTAACCCCATGTCCTACCATCCTTTCTCCGTCCTTTAGCACTCACTGTTCTGTGCTGGTTTCCAGGACCCTCCCTCTGGGTTGGCCACCTAACTTTGTCCTAATTAGCAATGCAACATTTTGCTGTTTATTTACTTATGAAAAAATTATCTCAAAGAATCATTTGAGTACAACAGATTATTGAGAAAGGCAGTACTGACTGGCAGGAAAAAAGCATATGAGCTTTCTGTCTCTGAAGAGGATATTATCTTAGAATCAACCCTACTTTTTTGCAGGGTGGAGTGTTTGGCATCCTCCTGGGAGAAAGTCATGGTCACAGTTGGTGGCGCATTGCTCTTCCTGTCTCAGGAGGAAGGCTGTTGATTGCTTATGGTGAAGTTAATGATCTGTGAGTGTGTGGCTATTTTTTCAGACTTTCATGTGCAATCCTCTGAGCCTGGCGGGAGGGGAAACCCATGAGCCTGGAGTAGAACTTGTTACCTTGCATATCCAATAGTCATTATTAACCAGAGTGCATTTTGTGTTGGAGATCAACTTGATATTTGAGAAAGTTTAAAATACAAATGCTTTCCTGCTTTTTGTCTTGACAGACTGAGATGATTAATGATATGTGATGTGTAAGGAGATAAAATGAGTGAGGTGAGTATGTAAGAAGTCTTTTTTTTTTTTTTTTTTTGACAGGGAACTTTTATAAGGCGTTTGAGAAATATGAATATGTTTCTTTAACTGACATTTTAGGTTTTTGTCTTTCACTCTGACTGATAAATGAGAGACCTCCCAATCTCTTCACTGAAGCATCCCTTGGGGGAATAAACTGATTGTGCATTGCAATGGGCACGGCTTTGGTTCAGGATTCTGATTATTTCTAAATCAAGGGCAGCTTTAGTTTCAGTTATTTCACTGTGGAAATGGAAAAAACGTGTCTGGAAAACATTTTCTCCCTACTTGTTAAATATCCTTTTCCTTTAAAAGTGAGATTTCTTGTTTTGAAAAGAAATGATTTTTAAACTCCACATAAAGGGAATTCTGACATCTGCAATTCTCTCAGTTTTGCTAGAGGTTAAAATTTCTAATTTGCAAGGCTGCTTCATTAAAAAAAGTAAGTCTTTGGAGGTACTGACTGAGTGAATGGCTATTAGCAAATATATTCTTTTTAGATGACTACCAGTCATTTTAGGTATCACAACAATATCTGTTAATTTGATGGTCTTTCCTTGCAAACTATGCTATTGTTTTTGAGTTAGGGAGAATACTATAATATCATAATATCTTTTTAAAGAATTTGTTGCTTTTGAGTGGGTTAAATGAGGTTCCTAAAGGTCACTGTTCACATTTTTCGTGGTTATATCAGTTATTCTGATCTACTTCATCCCCTGAAGGTGGGAAATACTTTTGTGATTATTTTCCCAGCAAAACTAACTCTTTTATGGTACATTTTACATATCCATTCATAAAAAACAAAAAAAAGAAAAAGTATTGGGCATTGTTTTGCTAGGTATTATGTTAAATGGTGAAGGAAGAAAGAGGAACTGAGTACAGATCTGTCTTTAAACCATAAAAGGCCCGTCCAGTGATGGCGAACCTTATAGAACTTTCAGTGATAAAAATAGCCCACTGTAGAACCAGTGTCATAGGCTCACCACTGCCAGTGAGCTATTGAACTAACAAAAAGTCTCTTACAGATTAGTAGGGGAGTAGGAACTTCTGCAGAGTATCGTTCCTACCCAGCCCTGTATTTGTTCTTTACTGAGAGCAAAGATCCAGTTAATGGGGTTTTTTTGTTTGTTTGTTTGTTTGTTTGATTTTGGCTGAGAGTTAACTAAGAGGTTAGATGCCATTCTGTCTGTTCATCCTTGTCACTGGTAAGGAAACAGACTCAGAAATAAGCCACGTGTCCACATTCGCCCAGCTAATTAGAGACCAATCCAAACACTTTCATTCTTTGGAGGGCAGAAGCAGCATTTTCTAATTTCATCTCATACAAGCACATAGTGCTAATTTGTAGTCTGCCTTAACTCACTGGCTGCCCCCCATGAACCTTCACACTCTTCAAATTAAAGTAGAAGTTGGGGGTGTAGGACTGAGTTAATATAAAACGATCATAGTAAGTTCTTATTACTTTGCAAAGTCTCATTTCAAACATACTACAATTTCACCTTTCTTTTCTTCCGATTTTAAAACTCTTTCCCTTTTGTCCTCAGAGATGAAATTGGTAAGATGATTGAAGATGTCAGTTTCAGAGCCTGCCAGCCTTGCTACTAAAGCTAATTATTTTGCAGTGTGCAAATAACATGATGAGGCAGAGGCACAGTGCAGAGAAGATGGAAAGGCATCTCAGAAAATGTAAGTATTCTTGATCATCACTTTTTTTTGCTTTTAATTAAAAATCGGTTAAATTATTTCTGGTTTGAAATCAATCTTTCTCGTTCAGCAGTTATTGCTGAATTTTCTGGTTTCTACTTATCCCTCTTACAGGCATCACAGTTGGTCTGATGCTAGACTAATGTGTGTGAAATAGATTTCTGGCAACCAAAATACCTAGACCCATTTAGGAGAATCTATTTCTCTATACGTATGGTTCCCCAAATGTAACACAAGACCTGTATATTTAAAATACATGAAAGGCAGCTCCAAAAACATGGCAAATGTAGAAAAGGGCAAAATCAATACTCTATTTATTAGTTATAACATTGCATAGAGTTTTTATTCATAGGTAGGAAAAATCCCTTTGATTTTGTTTTTTTGTCAAAATAAATGACTAGTTTTATTTTAAAATCAGTCTTTTTTACATGCAAATTCTAAAGCCTTTAAAACTGTATATGAAAGAACAAAACAGAAATAAAAATAATTAACATCATTGATAAATTGCAATTATCACATGCTTCAGTTTTTTTCTTTTTTTAAATTAATTCTCTAATATTGTTTCTGTTGGAGAAGTAGAGATTAAATGAAAGCATTAAATTCATCAAAACCTTGCCATTTGGGAACTTCCTATTATAAGAACTACATTTCTTCCATGACCAAAAGTAAAGACTGTTTCAATTAGAGGAAGAGTGTCCAGAGAATGTTGTCAGATTATTGGTTGAATAAACATTTGTTTCTTTTTTTTTAACTCAAGAAAATTTCAAGATCTGCATGGGGGGGGAGAAGTCTCTTTCTTGCATAGCTGAAATCTACTTCCATTTGTTCTGCTCCCCTTTTTTCTTCCAGTGCCTTTTTTTATCAAGTGCTACTTGGAAAAGCAGCGCAACTGCACTAAGTGAGAGAAGACCAGCAGGGAAGCAAGCTGATGGTTCTTCCTGTCCTGGAGAAATTTAGCAAGGAAGGATTCTGACACCGCTTCCCAGCTTGGAGAAACTTGATAGTTTTCAGCATGTTTATGTGATTGCTTAAGGCAAACGACTATAACACATTTGGATATTTGACATTCCATATTTGGCAGTTTGGTGAGACAGATATTTTAAATAATCATACCTTATTTCGCCCATATCTTTCTTATTAATATTGTCCACATTTTAATGTAATTCGAGCACAATTAATGGATGATTAAGCTCTATTTCAGACCACAGTTGGGCCATTTTGGATGTCTTAAGAGATTTGTTGAAGGTTTTTATAGCAAGACAGAGATTCTGGACATTCTGGACAAGGATGCACTGATTCCACATTGTGTTTGAGTTGCACAGTAAATCCCACAGCAGGAAAAAAAGATGAAGCCTTCATTTTCAGGACAAGCTAGCTAATTAATAATAATTCCCAAACAGCTTGGGATTGCATGTCAGCTACCGCATGGACATAAAAAAAATCCCATGATGTAAATGCTTTATGTTGTGAGAGGAAAAGTTTAGCAAAAATATACTTAGCATATTGGTATCTTTTTCTTTGAGGAAAATTTGTTGTTAGGACTCTTATCCACTGACCATTATAGAAAAAATGTTAATGAACAAACACTTCTCAAGGGTGTAAAGTTTGACCACGCTTTAAAAAAGTCTATAAAAGTATTTGAAAATTTTAATTCCTTTTTTGGTCCCCAAATAAAAATCAAAACCAAAACCAAAAAATAGTCCCAAAAGACTTTTATTAAACAAGGAGAAGACAATAAAGGGGAGAACGGAGGGAACTTAGGGAGAATAATAGGTAGGAAGGATGTGATCAAAATGTTATATGTGTGCCTGAAAATGAGACCTAGTAGCTTGTAAAATTAATACACACTAAGAAAGACCTAGTAGCTTGTAAAATTAATACACACGCTGTTCTGAACTGTTCGCAATCTCACTGTTTGAATGTCCACTTTGTATGCTTTAATTTTGTAACTTGAACAACTATTTCTAAGATGACAATATGTAACCTATTAACTAGTGATTTCTTACTGTTTATTTTTTTGAAATTCTGTATTACTTGTACCCTTTTACTGCTTTTTTCTCTTTAAATAAAATTAAAAAAAGAAAAAGCTGTTCCTAAAAGTTTAAATTCATTAATATTTAAGTTAAATGTCCCTAGAACATAACATTATTTTAACTATTCTACTACAACTCAGTCCATGAAGTTGAAATAATCTAATGAGTTCTTTTAATATGTTTGATTTATTATAGAGGTGATGCCTCTAAAGTAAGAAGTCTTAAATCTTTCAGGGTCTAAAATTGTGTGTGTGTGTGTGTGTGTGTGTGTGTGTGTGTGTGTGTGTAAGCAGGGGGTGGAGGGCTGGTTTGGGGACAGAAGCCTTTCAGTTGGGGGAAAACTTCTTGAAAATTTGTGGCCAAAATAAAACATATGACGCTCAACATCTTATTTCCAAGAGATTCATATGCAATTTTCAAAAGCGGTTCTAACAATTAAATTGTTTCCTTCTGAAAAAAGACCACAATTCAACTTTCAGATGATAAACAAGATTAAATAAAAGTTGTGACATACAACCCCAACACATTTTAGAACTGGCAGGCGTCATTCCCTGAGCAGTGAATTAGAACATCTATCCGTAAATGAACATAATGAGCATACGGGCTGATGTGCCTTCCTTGGAGGAAAACTGAACACACTGAAACTGTAATTCACAAAGCAGATATATTAAGGAGTTGCTTTACCTAAAAATTTTTTTTTATTTATAAAAAGGCTTCCTGCAAATCTCTTTTAAAGGGCTGCATATGCTTGAAGCATTTGTTTAAAGACCACTGTTTATCTGGAGTGCAGAGAGGATAATTAGAGAATCACAAAGCCCAAACCCAACATGTTTAAAACTCAACTAAATACTTTGCAGTCTCACTGTTTGACTGTCCACTTTGTTTGCTTTAATTTTCTAACTTGAACAACTATTTCTAAGATGACAATATGTAACCTATTAACTAGTGATTTCTAAATAACATATTACCATCCTTCCTCATCTCTTCGACTCAGGTGAGCCCTCATTTTGTCCATTTCAATTCAAGGCACGTGTGTGCACTCAGTTGTCTAGGCTCGAAGTCTCTCTTGTCCATGTCTTTGACCTCTTCTCACTTTGCGGTTTATCAACAAATTTTGTTACTCATGCCTCTCCCTCTTGTCTTAAGTTTTGAAACGAGATCATATTGTTATACATTTTTTAATCAATCTTTTTTCCTGAAATTTTTTGGAGCGAGTCACATGCTCTAAACATGTTCTCATCATCCTAGAGTTAACTTTTATAACGATCTTGTAATGCAGGTCACTTAGATTAGAATTCAAGGCAGAGATTAAGGATATGGAGGGTGGGGATGTGTGAACAGGCAAAGCACTAACATTTACTGAATATTAGTTATGATTCTGGCATTCTGTTAGGTGCTTCATGTTCATTATCTGCTATAATTCTTACGGTCACCTTTGAAATAAGAATTACATTCATTTTAACCAATGAGGACTGAGGCCCAGGACTGAAGATGTGGGCAGAAGGCTCATACGCAGCAGAAGGTAAAGTTGGAGCTGGGAGCCATGCTGGGCTCTCATCATTGCATCATTTTTCCTTCACTATATTTTCTGGCAAAAAACTAATGCTTAAATTTTAAATCTATATTCCAAAAGTCTTTCCACTAGTATATCTTTTTAAGCAGCTAATATATGGCAACAATTAATAGAAATTATGTTTCTAATTAGTAGCTGTTCCATTAATAAATAACTATCCAGCATAAGACATTTTTGAAGTGACTATTTTAATCTGTCAAAATACTTCTTAGCTCCTTGCAAAGGAATCTTCCACAAAGAGCCCTAATAACTCCCCCGGAGATCATAGTTTCTCACTCTTAATGGACCATCAGTGACTATTCCATGGAATTTTTAAGTACAGGTGTTACAAACACAGAGGCACAGCCAAAGCTAAGTAGCTTGGATGTTTTCCTTATAGGTCATGATACTGAATTTCTTTACAGAATAATTCATAACTGTAGACAACATTAGCAGAGAACTCACTGATAGTAGAATTCACACAGCATGAGTATAGACAGGAGTAGGTCAACAGCAGAAATGCGGTTAGTTTACCATAGGTGCTCAAAAATGGATTTGCTACTTATATTCAGTTCATTATGTATATTAGGTGTATTGAAAAGCTCACACACATCTCAAATGTTTAGAGAAACTTGAATTCAGGGCGGGGGGAGAATTCACCCCCTCTTGTGAGTTAAGAAAAGAGTCCTTGCTTTTGGGAATCTGAAGCTCTGTACCATCTTTGCTGTTAAGTCAACAACAAAGGAGGATGATTCTCTAACTCTCAAGCTCCTTTGGGTAAATAGAAGGCGTTGAGATTCTCCATGGCCCTTCAGCTCCCCTATCCAAAATTCAGATTTGTACACCAAGATTCAAATTTGTTGCGACAGTTCTCTTCACCTCATAAAGAGAAAGATAATAATTCATTTCTTTCCATATTCATGAAGATTAATGTCATAACAGTGCTCGGTTTTCACACTCGTTCTCTTTATGAATTGCAAACCCAGAAGTTGTGCTGTGCTGTCTTCCTGGAAAAACAAATGACTTTCTTGCATAATGAGGCTCATATCTTGCTAATCTGTCTTGTATAAACTAAGTCTCTAGGGTATAACAATCATTCTTAACTACACATTTGTTTAGATTTTCTGACATGCAACTGTAGTCGTTTCCAAAGAGGCTTATGCTTTTATAATTCTAGAATATGACAGTGATTTGTAATTATTACTTTTCCAGAAATGATTCCATCTATTTGCAAAACCACAGTTGAACTGAATCACCTTAAATAACATAAATAGGTATCATGAATAAAACAAAAACTCAACTGGCCCTTAAAACCTGCCTTATTTTCTAGTAAATTTATGTTTGTAAGCCAATTAAGATATGAGGCCAAAATTCATTTATAACCTCAGAAAACAGCTAAGAAAGTATTGCAGCTAGGAGAGGAGGCTCTGGCACCTAAATGCAATTTCCTTACCAGCCCCCTCTCCCCGCTGCCATTCTGGTCTTCATGCTGGATCAGTGAAGCTCTCTGTGGGGGAGCAAATAACATCCTCAAGTCCCAGGTAACCTGGTTGAGGCTGCTTCATAGGACATTTCTCAAGAAATTTTGCTTGTGAAGCACAAAATTGGATCCGTAACAAAGCAAGTCACTAAGGGGGAAACAAAAGCCAGAGATTTATAGAGCAAACTAAAGTGCTTGAAATTCTTATGAAGGGGAAATACTTCAAGGTTGCATGAAGCAAGAAGTAGAAGAGTGGACTAAACAGTAAGATTAAAGTTCAACTTGATCTTACTTGCTTTTTAAAATAATTCAATCATTTTAAACTGTGGCCAACCAAAAATCAAAGGATCTCTTTAGGAAGACGAGCCAGTAGTAATTCCACTCTTGGTACTGTGTGGCTCGTTGGATCTGTCATAGCTTCTCTGCCCTACTCAACTAGTGTTGGCTTCTTTTCGTCTTAGACACTTGCATTCTCCCTAATTTTCCTATTTTGTAGAATCCTCCTGCTATCACTCATCATGAACATTAGTCATATTCAATAGTTTTATCAAGGATCTTTAAATCATTTGACCTTAGGATTCTGCCTGCACAGCAGCGTGCTACTTACTCAGAGAATGCGCTTATCGTAACTGTCTCCTCGTGAATATAAGATGCAGTCTGCAGGGTTGAGAAGCAGACAAAAAAAAAGTTCCAGAAACTTAGCTCAGGAAGCCTTCTCTGAACATTTTTTTGACTCACCAGGAAGAGGAATAGTAAGAGCTAATATTTGTTAAGGATCTTATAGCATCCCAGCCACCCAATTTAAAGCACAAAGTAATCGAATCTCTACCATGGCTTCATGTTTCTGTTTGATAGATGGGAACTCTAGAGTGCAGAGAAATGAAGAAATATGATCAATTTCACAGAGCTGGTAAGAGGTAGAGTTTGGGTTAGTGGGCATGGTGGTTTAGATCCCACCTTTCCTCTGTGATTTAGTTGTTAAGCTTAACTCTTGACTTTGTCCTCAAACTCTTCTCAGTTTTGGTGACACAGCTTCTGACTGAACTTTTTGGCTGAGGTATTGCATGTACTGTTAGGCCCACTTTCAGATCATTCTATTGGCTTGATGATAAGGGGCTCTCTGTAGCTAAAGGTAAAACTAATCCTTTTCCCTTCCTCTCTTCTTCTTTAGCTTACTATCATTGCCTGGCCTCAACCATATAAAAGAGAAAGTTTGGCTAAGATTCAGTGATTCTCCACGTCTGCTGGCAAGAGCATGGCTTCAAATTTGAGTCAAATGACTTAAGCCTGAAGTTAAGAGTTCATGCAGAAACTACTTGTTGAGTGAAGCGCCATGAAGGCAGGCATCTTTTCAGTTTTGCCTCTATTCCTCCATCACTGGATTAGTACTTTGCACATCATGAATGCTGAATAAACATTTTTTGAATCAAAACATGACATAATGACTGAATAGGAGGAGACAATGGTATTGGATAGAATACAGAACAGGGTATAAAAGTAGGACCTCTCAGACATTTAGTCCCCATCCTTTACACACTGGATCTTGGGTCTGCTGGATAGCAGCACAAGAGTGGGGACAATTCCTGTCAGATGATGGTGATAGGACCCTGATAGGTTTCCTGTTCCTCTTGGGTCTTGTTCAGAAGCTGAGAGCAAACTGGTTTGTGAGAAGATTCAGTAGAGACTTAGAAAAGATAAAGCCTGGAAGATTAATCCAAATTCCACTGTCTGCTCTGCTGGTCTCAGGCATATCTTCTGCTGCAATTTTTAAAATCTTCCCTGCATCTCATTTCTAGGCAAGGTTAACCATTTGCTTCAGTTTTTTAAAGATGGCTGACTCTGCACACAGGCACAACAGATTAGCTTCAGTGTGCCTGTGTCATTACTTTCATAACTAACTAACAAAGTGTTGTTTATTTTTCTTAATCAGCCTCTCTCGTGTGCAATTTATAGCCTTTCCTCCTACCAACCTTT